AATAATAATAATAATAATACTCTGAGAGCTGAATGAAATGTTAAACTCATTAAAGACTGGTCGGGGTTCACTACAGTCACCATTCAAACGTCCGATAATTTACATATACTCATTTAATATCAATATATTTGAATATGAATAAACTTCATCACAGTTTTTATTATGCTGTTGATTACTGGTTCGTCTGTTTGTGAGCTATATGTTTTTGATTCTGTGTACATTGTATATATTTTGTGTGTTATATTTATATATTCTGTGTACATTTATTATATTTTGTTGTGATATATTTAATGATTCTGTGTACATTTATATATTTTTGGGAATATATTTACATTCTGTCTACAATCTGTTCTCTTTCCTTTCACTGTCCATCCAGGTGAGTCCAGGTGGGTCAGGAGTGGTGAAGTACGGCCTCCCCTCATTGGCCAACATCAAGACCAGAGAGTCCTACGTCACCTCATATGACCCCCGCACACGCACTGCATCATGGGTAATAGAGAGGCTAAGCTCCGCCTCCCTGAGTGGCCCGTCAGACAGGAAGTACTGCGACTTCAAAGAAGACGACAGGTGAGACAGAAATACACAGGGAGACAGGTAGAGCCAGACAGGAAGCGACTTCCAACAGTTTAATAGAAGAAACAAAATGAATTTATTTTCACGTTGTTGTTTATCATAAACAGTTTGTTTATTTTCTATACCCCCCCCAGTGTACACTTGTTCCACAGAGCGACCAACGCTGACTACAGGGGGAGTGGCTTCGACAGAGGTCACCTGGCTGCTGCAGCCAATCACAAGTGGAGTCAGAAAGCCATGCAGGACACGTTCTACCTGAGCAACGTCGCTCCACAGGTAAACCCATGAACACAGCCTGGAGAACCAGAACACCTGGAACAGTCTGTAGAACCAGTGTTTAGATATATTTATGTTCTGTGTACAGAACCCTCACCTGAACCAGAACACCTGGAACAATCTGGAGAAACTGTCTCGCTCTTTGACCAAACATTACCTGAATGTGTATGTCTGCACTGGACCGCTCTACCTGCCCAGGTAACTCTCTTATTTTTCTGTGGTGTTTGAGTGTTGTGTGGGCGGGGCTACAGGATGACATCATCAGGCGTGTGTGTCTGTTTCAGGCAGGAGGCTGATGGGAAACTCTACGTTCGATATCAGGTTTTAGGTCGGAACCACGTTGCCGTTCCGACACACTTCTTCAAGGTGAGTCCACCTGTCTGAGGATGATGACCTCACCTGTCCTGTGTCTGCTCACCTGACCTGTGTCTCTTCAGGTGCTGATCCTGGAGCAGTTGGATGGTAGAGGGGTGGAGCTTCGCTCGTACGTTTTACCAAATGAACCAATAGATGAGAAGGTTCCTCTGGAGCGGTTCCTGGTTCCCATAGAAACCATTGAGAGAGCATCGGGACTTCTGTTCGTTCCCAACATCATGAAGAGGACCAGCAGCCTGCAGGCCATCACTGCCAGATGAACTACACTACCCACAATGCACTGCTGCTCAATGGCTCATAGGATGTGCTTCAGTCAGGTTCTGTGTTCTCGCTGCAAAACCAAGCTGCTCGTCTAAAACTGATCATGTGACGTTTGTGTGAATCTGAATGTTTGATATTTAAAAAATAAATTCTGATTCATTGATGATGAGTTCAGAACTGATTATTAAAAACAGATTTTACTGTTAATAAAGATTTCAAATATTAAGTCGGCATTCATTGATTTGTTTTCAGTCACAAAATCCAGCGACAGCTTTAATGTTGAATCCAAAATCAATTGATCTATTTATTAATGTCCACAACTAAAAGTGTTTTTAATGCTAATTAATTAATTAATTAATAATTAAGAGAACTGGAGGTACGATTGAATGAATATATTCCACTGCGTTAATGTTTGGACATAAACCAGTAATAATAATAATAATAATAATAATAATTATAAGCCATTAATAATAATAACAATTCATTAATTAACTGAATTTCTGAATTAAAAACTGAACTTTAAGTAGTCTTAATGAATCTACTGGATATTTGAGCTCTGCAGCAGAGGAACGGATCACACTTCTGATCAATATTATTATTGATCTCTATAGATGTAACTGCATGTTGTTTGATAAAAGACAGACAAGGTGAAAGAAAATCCTTTCATTAAAGACATAAAACATCAACATCTTATTCATCGGGAGCTTCGAAACAAACGTTTTCATCTACAGTCTCGTTTTCATCTACAGTCTGTATTCTGTCCACTGACCAGTGACAGCCAATCACATTGGAGCAGGGGCGGGGCCTGTGTTTGTTTATCTGCGTCCTGATTGTCTGGAGGTCAGCTGACTGTTGTCCACCTCCACATACTCCTCGTCGTGTGAGCTGAAGATGTCAGACAGCAGATACTTGTTCTCCTCCTGTGGCTGCTCCTCCTCCTCCTCCTGCTGCGCTGCTGCTGCTGCTGCTGCTGTGCCTGCCGCGCTCCTCTTTACTCCAACTTTCTCGTCTCTCCTCAGGAGAGAAGACCCTTCAGCTGCAGGGTTAGTCGATGATTTCTGAGCAACAGGAAAGGAGTAAAAGTCTTAAGCATTCGTAATGTTCCCTGTCAGTGTTTTACTGCTGCTGTAGATGTTTAAGGCTGAGCTCATTTGAACAACTTCATTTACTGTTGGCTTGTTTAATCTAGAACAAATAGTCGTGGAACAGATTGGTTCATATCGTAGTACTCTAATAAGATAAAGTACTCTAATAAAGTATTACATTACTGACCTCCGTAGGATAAACTGGCCCAGTTTGGAACTCTGGAAACTTTCAGTCTGTGGAAACTCTTCTGAACACACACAGTGGTCACTTTACTGAAACACAACAACAACATCAACACAGGAGTACTGTTAGTACTAATAATACTGTCGCAGTGCATTACCACATTAATGATCAGCTGACTGAACTAAAAACAGTTTGACCTTTGACCTCACCCAACAGTCTCAGCGACCTCGTCCCAGTCGATGTCTGCTACATCGTCCACACGCATGTTGTACAACCTGAAACGCACAATGATTATTGATTGATTATTGAATAATTAATGACTGATTATTGATTAATTAATTATTGATTATTGAATCAAAGTGTCACTTTCTGCACCACTGCACTATTGTCTACTGTCTACAAATGTTTGTTTATATGTATGTGTAACTGTACATATTTATTTTTATAGAACTTGTTTATTTAGTCTGTTTGAACATACCTGATCAATAAAAAGTGATTCTGATTCTTTGACTAATACGCTGTCCACATACTTTTGGACTTATTTGGCCTTTCAAAACAAAACTGTTCACATGGAACTGTTTTATTTTGAAAGGAACCACAGGTGTGTCCTGTTCAGGTGTGATTGTGATCTTACGTGTGAATGAGGTGGATTTTAGTCTGGAGTCCTTCAGCTCCTCTGTTGAAGGTACCGACACCTGAAGTCATTTTTCGTTTCAGGATGCAGAACCTGAAACACACAGACACCTGAGCACCTGAGCAACTGGACTACATCTGTTTTCTTTTCTTTGTTCAAACCTGTTTATATTTGAGGTATCAAAGGTTTTCTGTTGTGAAAGAGTGAAACTATCAACACTAGTTCTACAGTACTGGTACTATAATAATAAATACTACTGCATCTTTCTCTATCTGTTCCTGTCAGACATGATCCAGAGTCAGTACCAGCACCAGCACCATTACAGTACCAGTACCATTACCATTACAGTACCAGTATGATTACAGTACCCGCTCTGCATCTGAGCCACGGCCGCCCTTATCATTATAATATTATCATATCAGTACCATTACAGTACCAGCACCAGCACAGTTTCAGTGTACTGACCACTTGAGTCGACACTGGACCCAGGATCTGGTCCCAACGTGCTGACTGATCTCCTTCCAGGGCAGGTTGTTACACAGCTGGTCTCTGCTCAGACCAGATCCTGCAGGACTATCCAGGACCTCCAGGTGAGCCTTCAGAGCCTGCTTCAACCTGGACTCCTCATCTGAACTCCACACACCACGACCTGCAGCTGGACGGAACCACACACACAGATTCAGTTTGATCACTAATCAATGTGATTAAGAGTTTGCATGGTGTAAGAGAACCTGAGAAAACCTCAGAGAACTTCTGTGTTTACCGATGCTGGCGAAGCGCTTCTCTAAAGCATAGATACTACGGTCCATCTTCTTAGAGATCGTTCTCCAGTCGTTACCATGGAGGTTCTGTAACTTCTGCAGAGAATGGATTTCCTCCTTTGAGAACCTGACAGAGGACACACACAGAACCTTAACATAAAGATGATTCTGCAGCTAGAACGTTAACATGAAGAGGGTTCTACATCTATAACAAACATATAATGGGTTCTGCAGACAGAATGTAATGGGATTCTTGTCTGAACAGAAACAGGTTGAACTTTGCCCTCTGACCTTCCCATGCGGTTCCTATCGTCAAAAATCTTCATGGCTCTGGTGTAAACCTGCTGACACGTCCGAGGGATCCCCTCAGCTGGAGACAGACAGACAGACAGACAGACAGACAGAAGAAGGAGACAGAAGACGGAGAGAGAGACAGAGACAGAGAGGACAGACAGAGGAACAGCAGGCAGACGACAGCACAGGAAAGAACCAGAGAAGAGAGGGAAGACAGACAGACAAACAGAGAGGAGATCAGAAAGGACCATCACTGATTACGATGATAACAATAACATTGATGATGATGAAGATGTGTTTACATACCGATCCTCTCCAGGAAGTGATATTGTGCTCTCAGCCTCTTAATCTCTGCCTCTTCCTCTTTGAACCTCTGAGGAAACAGAAGCTGATTGGCCGAGCTGATGCCGGTCAGAGCCAGGAAGTCAGTGACGTTCTGTCTGATTAATCGATTCTCCTCCTGTGTGCACCGACCCCGCCGCAGAGCCACACCTGGAGGACGACGGACAGGTGTACTGCAGTTGTCTCAAGTGATTGCAGTACTAGTACCTTCCTGTTTTTCGGGGTGATTATACCTTCCTGTTTAGGTACTAGTACCTTCCCTGTTTGTAGTATTAGGCCTTTCTTTTGCAGTATTAGACCTTCACTGTTTGCAGTATTAGTACCTGTACCTGTTTGTGGTATTTAGGACCTTCCTGTTTTGTAGTTATAGAACTTTCTGTTTGCAGTATTAGTACGCTTCCTGTTTGCAGGTATTAGTAACCTTCCGGTGTTTGTATTAAGGACCTTCCTGTTTGTAGTATTAAGTACTTCCGTTGTTTGTTTGAGTGATTCGGACCTTCCCTGTTTGTACTGAGATACCTTCTGTTTGTAGTAGGACCTTCCTGGTTTGTAGTAGTATTAGGAACCTTCCGGTTTGTCAGTAGTTGAGTAATTCATGTTTGGTATTAGGACCTTTCCTGTTTTTGGCGTAGTACCTTGCGGGCTTGTTAGGTAGTTAGTAGACGGCTTCGCTGTTTGCTGCAGGTATGGTAGGACCTTCCAATGTTTGTATTAGGACCTCCTGTGTTGTAGTATTAGTACGCTTTCCTGTTTTGTATTAGATACCTTTCGGCGTGTTTGTATAAGTACTTGTCCGCCGTGTTTGTACTGGCCGCGAGTACCTTCCTGTTTGGTGAGTATTGTAGCTTCCTGGTTTGCTAGTGATGTAGTTATCCATTACACTGGTTTGCAGTAGTTGGTAGTTAGCCTTCCTGTTTGCTGTACTGAGTACGGGTTGCGCTGTTGTTGTACTAGGTAGCCTTCCTGGTTTGCAGCTATGTGGTGGATCCTTTCCTGTGTTGCGTTACTAGTACCTTCCTGTTTGTAGGTATTAGGACGTTCGCTGTTTGCGTGTACCTAGATACCTTCCTGTTTGTACTAGTAGCCTTCCTGTTGTAGTATTGAGATACCGTTCCTGTTTTGACACGTATTATACCTGGTCCTGTTGTGCAGTAGTTAGTACCGTTCCTGGTTGGTATGGGATGAGACCTGGTGCTCGTGCCTGGCTTGTTTGCAGCTGCTATTTTAGATACCTCCTCTCTCTCTCTCTCTCTCTTCGCCCTTTTTTTTTTTTCGCCTCCCCGCCCCGCCCCGCGGGAACTGTTTGCTGTACTAATAGCCTTTCCGTGTTTGTACTAGTACCTGTCCGTGTTTGCAGGTAGGGTGAGTACGGCTCCTGTGCATGATGGTGGTGGGGTGCGGGTGGCAAACGGTGTTGCGTTGCTATGTGTGTGTTTGTGTGTGGGTTTGATTAGCGATGTTCTTGCGCGGGGGTGGTGTGTGTGTT